GTACAAAAAGAGGAAATCAGCTGATCCGAGGAAAAGTTGAATGCCTGGTGAAGGAGGCGATACTGCCAATTTTTACTGCACACCATAATTGATAGGAACCTTATTAATATTCGTGAGGCCTGCACAGATTGACAGATATTGCAAACACCAGTGTTACAACTTTTAAACATGTGTAACCAGGTCGGGTTTCAGTACTTACTTTTACCCGACAGGTTCCTTACTCCAGCATTCATATCATAACTTTTGTAATTTCGTGGTTGTGTTATTTCACACGCATGACATGTGAGCAGCCATTGCGATCATGCTTTTTGCCTAGCGCCCTCTCGCGGCCAACTAAACTTTTTTTTGCACAGCTCGCGCCGCCTAGAATTTTGCTAAACTATGCAATGGGCGTAGCGAGCAGGCGAGTTTTGCATTCCACCGCGCTTTGTTTAAGAAAAATAGCTGACATTCCGGGCGTTTCGGTTAGTTTTCTTGTAAGGCTAGCTGCGAAATAACTTTGATTTCGATCCACCTTAATTGTTGCGTTCAGACCATCATTTTGCGAGCTCTTACACTCTCCACTTATATCTGCACATTTTGAGTGAGGCTCCCTGATACTTGTGATAGCAGTACAATATTTTCATCTATTTTAACTGCTGATCTTCGATTTTAACATCGGACACGGAGAAGGCATGAACGTAGACCATCCCAAGTGATACTATCCTTGGAGCAACTTCATTAGCCTATTTTCCCTTTTTGACTGTCGTTTTTATAGACCCAAAAAGTTCGTTTGATATACCCAAAGTTCATATATATACTGTAAATCTTTTGTAAATACCTAATCATTTGTATATATATATTGTCTCATATTTGTGCTGTAAATAAAACATTTGATATTATTGAGACAACAGAAAACTTCGCTCTACCCAAATCATTTTTTAGTGGAACCACTCGGTTGTAAGGAGAGTGCCACATTTTAAAACTAATAAATCCCACTCTCCCCGGTTACACATGCACGTAACCAGACCTATTTTTTCGAATTCAATGAAAAGTTCTGAACTTATCAAAACTTTTTTTAGCACATAGTTGGATCATTATCAGGGAAACAAACCCTGAAAGTTGCATGAAGATACGGTCTTCCAAACGGCAGAAATTGATTTTCAAATATAAATTTTGCCCGCGAACATCCACATGTCTATGTGCATGTTGTTCCATTCAGATTAAAGTATTTGCAACCACATGGCTAATAAGGTCAGTGTAGAAGCTAAAACACGGACTACTAGCCGCACAATACCTCAAACATTGGTATCTTTTGGTGTACGGTGGATTCCGATCGTGTGGGACTACACATGGCTATCGTGATCTGCATGCATTGTTAATAAGCTACATTGACCATGGAGGAAGAAAAATATTACAAAAATATTTACCAAGTAATCTTGTCTAATATGCTACATATCTCGGCAAGTTGCCATCTCGATTTCCGTAAGTCGACTTGGCGAGATGATTTATGTGATTAAGTCGCTTTTAATACATGCAACATGACGTGATAAATTATCTCAGTAGGGCTAAATATTAAAGTGGATGGCACTCATGGATCGCCGTACTATATAAAAGGACATGCATTGTTATTCAGCGATAAGGAATGCATTCAGTGTAGATTGTGTAATGTTTGTATGGGTTATAGGTCAAGTGGTCGAACATCTATTCAGGGCCATGCACCATTACGCCAAATATCAATCAGTAGGCCTAGGAGTCCGAGGACCACGTTATTCATCATGGCAAATTCAATCTGTTTACTACACGAGGCTAGTCGCAAACCAAGGCTTTTTATACAGAATTTGGCTGTTTAAGATTCTACTGGCTGTTGGCTGGTAGGCCTCCATGGTGTATCTACCTCTCTAGGAAAAAATCAGCTCATTGAAAGAGGCTAGTAGAGTAGAGTACAGTAAGTGTGACCAGACTATCGCATAATAATGCTACGCCTACGAGTGTGGTGGTGGCGCTGGGTCATTGCCGTTAGCGCATTTCTGCAGCAAATAGCGACATACGGGATGTTGTACAATTACAGCATTTTATTCGTCAGTCTGCAGAAGGAATTCGACTCAGGGGCTGTCCTGGCTGGTAAGTATCATTCCGCGAGCCCGCTATCACTGTACATCCATAGAGGTCCCCTTCAATATGGCCAAGATATTATGCCATCTGTTAGTCAGATAATCGGGTCGGGGTCATGGAGAAATAAAAGTACAGTATTTAAACTGTCATAACGATTTTGCCGTTGAAGGGTCCTCCTTTAATTCAACACCGTGTTTGGAGCGCCGTGGTTCAATGTTTACAGACAGAGGAAAGCGTCTCTGTAGTCCAACGTCCCACGGTCCTACGTCCCATTATTCCGACGTCCCATTTTGGTCCGACGTCCCATTTTGGTCCGACGTCCCATTTTGGTCCGACGTCCCATATTGGTCCGACGTCCCATATTTTTTTTTATTTTTTTTTATTTTTTTTTAACTATTCACAAGTTTAGGGTTTATAGATGTAAATGACACTATCATCTTTGATTCTCTATTGTTTATAGGAATCAAACATCAAGCCCCACATGCCACGGCCAAATGATGTGATGTGTGTGATTTCGGAAAATTGCTGTAGTTTTTTTTTGGAAAGCATATCGTGCCTTATAGAGGACGAGATGGCGCTCCGAAAATGCATCTTAATCTTATGCCACAATGAACATCTTCCATACAGTTTACAGCCAAAACTATTGTTCCATCTAGGCTATATCCTCTAGTAAACGCGCATTGCAATATAATGCATCTATAAAGACGTCTATACTTGCAAATATACTAATGAAAGACTAGAATCTGATAACATGTAACTACAAAAAGGTACAAACAGGTTTCCCTTAAATAGAAATGTGTTGATAAATGCATGCATACAAAGGTAGACACGCACAACTTTATGAAAAAGGCGTGAACTTATTGTTTGCTATTGTTTGGCCAATACATTTTTGGCTCGACAGTTTAAGTTTGACCAGCAATTTTTTTTAAGTATAATATTCGAATCCTTTTTTAACTTTTACAACACGGTGTTCGGTTTTCAAGAATTGACTTTGTGGAAATTGACAACATTATTTTTCAGTTTAGCCAATTCTAAAACGAATTTCATCAGGTCCTTACATGTGAATTCTTTCAGGTATAAATAATCAAGACTTACAATTTACTTTTAAAAACAAAAGTTCTCCCATGTTTTTCTGCAGTAGAAGGCGGTAGAAATAATGCTGATACTCTATTAACCTTACGTCTTATTTTACATCTGAAAGCAATTATACTTAAAGTAGAAAAATACAAAGCACTCAATACTGCACAGCATTACACAGGGTTTTCTCTGGCCATTTCGTAACCATGATATATTAATTATAGGTATGCCAACAAGTTTTTACATAAGGCTCGCAGTTAAGACTGGCAGTTAAGTCAACTTAATTACACCACTCACCCACTTAGTCAAGCCCTCAGATTGTCAGAGATTTTTTTTTCCCTCAGGGGAAACTTATTTATTCAGAAGAAACGTTTCTCTTGCGTTTTACAATAAGTATAAACAAATAATATATTAATCATTACATAAAAGAGAGAATGGATCCCATTTCGCATTAAATTTAGCAAGATCACCATTTGTAGTAAATATATATTTTTCCAATACATAGTATCGTTTTAGCTCATTCTTAAATACTAAAAGAGACGGTTTACTACCATTCATCTTCATTTTGTAAATGTGGTAACGGCATAGGAGAAGACATAAATTAAGGGCGCTCCAGTATTTGTTAAGTATGTCAAATAAAATCATCTCGTAATCTACAAACACATTAATATTCAAAGTCTCCTTAATCCAATCACTAATTTGAGTCCAGAACGATAAAGAAATCTCACAAGTGCAAAATAAGTGAATCAGAGTTTCCTTTTCTACACGACAGAAGGAACACAAGTCGTTCTCCCCTTTACCAATCTTTACCAAATAAGAATTGACGCCCAGGATTCTATGGACCAATCTGTATTGAAACCATCGTAATTTTGTATCACAAGTAATCGTAAAGGGCATACTGCAGAAAACCGACCATTTAGTGGCAGGGAAATTGATACTCAATTTTGTTTCCCATTTGTCAATGAACTTACTCGCAACCTTTTTCACTGAAGTAAAAATATGATAAATACGGGTAGAACCTTTTTTATCTGACAAAAGTACCTCAAAATTAAATGGGATAAAAGGAAAGCAAATATTTGACTTAACCCCTTTAAGAAAAGAATTGTTGACGGCCTCGACAACTCCACCATACTCTAGAAAGTTAGTCCTAATACTGAATTTTAACATAAAGCGTTCCAAGCTCAAAAAAGCACCTTTGTTGTCAAGTAGGTCAGACACAAAGTTTGCCCGACGTCCCATATTGGTCCGACGTCCCATATTGGTCCGACGTCCCATACTCCACTAACATCCCAGGGTAAGGGTTGGAGTTAGGGTTAGGGTTAGAGCATAGATTGGGTTAGGTTAGGATTAGTCAACCTGAACCTGCAGTGGAACTATACGCAGTATAAAATCATCGGCCAATGTGACGTCGGTCCAATAGGACGTCAGGCCCCGTTGAGATGTACGAGTCGGACAGTAGAGATGTAACCGATTGAACCAAGGCGTTCGGTCGGATCCAAATGATTTGCATAAAATAGTGACCGCTTGAGGTCGCTGTTCGCGCTGCAACGATATGCCGCCGATTGATTACCGCGTACGGACGAATATAAACGACGAACGCCTTTACCAAGGTTATCGTTGGGGTTGTTCACGTCTTTGCAACCAATTTAGTCATTTTGCATCATGAACGCCCATATAGGGATGCTGCCGACTCGGATGCGTAACCCCGTTAATAGCAACGCGCATCCTATATAATGGTTCGAGTGTAGCCCTACGTCTTATATTGCTGCCGTATTTGACTATTGGAATAACCTGTCACATCACCATTATTTATTTGTTCTTCAGGATGGCCAGGCTCTCTTGCATCGAGTCTTGCCAACTTGATGAGCCCTCTGACCGCCCTTCTGATGATGAGGATGAAAGCTGTTAAATTGGTCATCCTCGGACACGTCATCATATGCGTTGGATATCTTCTAACCTCCATCGTTCCTGCGCTAGGCTACGCCGTGTTTACCTTCGGTGTCATGGGTGGAGTTGGCGTTAACTTCGTGACCCACGCGGTCACGGGGTTGGTTTTGGAGTGGTTCCCCAAGGACAATTTCAGTCGAGCAAATGGCATTTCTGTAACGGGAACATCAACAGGTAAAGCCTTACCCTTGGCGGGTGGTTTTTTTTTGAAAATCAGTGTTTTATTCAGTTTTTCTTTCATTTTCTGAAAGAGTATATTGTTAGGGTCATACCATTCATACTGTAGTATGAACTAAGGTAGGCCTATACTCTGTCGAAAAATGAAGTGGTGGCGACAGATGTGAAACAGGGCCCGTTTTTAATGATTTTTCGCCGTGTTTTCTCATGGTTGCACATAAAAACCGGCCCGGTGGGTTAGTTCCCCAAAGGAATCCATACGCTGTCAGTCAGTACTAGTCCGTGGGACGAGTGGCGGAAAACGCTTTAGTTTTCGAGATACGCGATCTGGTCTGCCGAATTTTATAAAACTTTCCAGACATGTAGATTATGATGTACCATATCGAAAAAACATTGTTCCCCGATCCACAGTTTGTTTGGGAATGAGAAAATCTGGGATGAAAACGCCGAAAATTCTGCATAAGAAACAACATAAGAAACAGCGCCCTCTTTTGGCACAGTCAGAAACATTTTCGCGTGCAATGAGTGCTTGCCAGATAATACTTCTTTCAAGTTCCCTTAGAAGATCATTACAGATCACATTCGTCTAAGCTGTTGCCGAATGGCAGCATTCAAAAATCGAATTCGTTGATTATAAATCAATTGGACGAATTAAATTTCTTGACTGAAAAGATTTGGCATAGTAGACGAAATCGATACTCCGGTACGAAAACGTGTACTTGTTGTAATTGCTTAAACTGAGTTTTATATTGTCACACAAAAGACGAAATTAAACGTTGGAAGAGCACTAAATCGACGGTGATGGGCGAATATGAATATTAGAGACGGTAAATAAAGGTTTTAAATTAGCCGGGAAAACCTATTTAATGTAATTTAATCCATTTATTTATTTATTTATTCGTTTTGTTGGGGGGGGGGGATTTAAACCTGCACAGTCCGTTAAGGAAACAAGCAGAATGGTATTCAGATTACATAGGTTTCTTCAATCTGTACTGAATGAGCATTAAACTTGTTTATTTTGAACTAACCAAACGAGATTATGAGCACATGTACCGGCGGGATAGATAGTTATTGTATAACATATCAAAAGTCTCATCAAATTGAAGGACCCACTTTTTTGTTTGCAAACTTTTCTAAAACGAGAAAATTAATGTATATTCCCCTATTCGGAAGCTGTGAGTGGCAGCATTACCACTGCATATTTGTTTAAGCTGAAACCGTTTTACCGATATTATTATTGTGAATATTGTTTTAAGAACCGATTCGATATTTTGTTGTTGCTCTGTCCATTCCGTGAAACCACAAATAACCCAACGGCCCACCCGCCTCCTTTTTGAGGCTGCATCAAATTTGTATTACTTTTTAAAATTTCAGTAATATCATTTCTTAAAGATGTTTTAGAAGTTCAGCTGCTCCAGCAAATGCCACACACTTATATTATTTTTGAAAACATGTTACCCTGCAGAGATAAGAGTGCACAAAATTATTCTGATCTGTGGTTTAACCATATACCAATCGATGTTCAGCTAATACATAACAATGTAAACATTCGATCTTAAATTTAAAGCGTGATCATTTCATGTTGGACAAAACTGTAACAAAAATATTTTGGTATCCCGATGAGAAATAACAAAAATCTAGAATATAATATGAAAGAAGTGTCATCTAGCAAGCACTCATTGGCCGAGTATGGGCGGGTCTTGTTCTTGACACGGGTATATCATTATTGCAAACAACGACGGATAGCTATAGGGGCATGGTGTGAGATCCTGCTCCGAGTGCAGTACGTGCTCGTGGGTCGTGTTCTCGCCGTCGAGCGCGAGAACAATAATAAATACTCGCGTCAAGTTGAGAACAGACCGCCCGAACTCGGAGTCGGACAGCCATTGCGTGAGAAAAGGTTTCTGACTGTGTCAATAGGGGGCGCTGTTTCTTATGTTTTTTTCTCAGGTAGAATTTTCTGCGTTTTTATCCCAGATTTTCTCATTCCCAAACAAACTGTGGATCGGGGAACAAAGTTTTTTTCGATATGGTACACCATAATCTACATGTCTGTGAAGTTTTATAAAATTCGGCAAACCAGACCGCGTGGCGAGCGAAAAAAGGCGTCGTCCCACGGGCTACAGGGTTTAGGCCCTCACACTCAACTGAAACCACCTTACATGATTTTACGAACACATGTTTTCAGGCTCATGGAGCGTGGGGAAATAACAGGCACTGTTTTTTATAGATCTAAGTAAAGCATTCGATTCTGTTTATAATCATGCAACTCTCCTAAATAAACTTGAAAAGATGAATATGTCAACCTCTGTAATCAAGTGGTTGAAGTCATATCTTAGTGAACGCAGTCAGTCTGTGAATATTGAGGGCAACATATCCAATGCCTTGCCACTTCACACTGGCGTACCACAGGGATCAATTCTAGGTCCACTGTTATTTATTATTTATACAAGTGACCTGCCGCTTTGTATCCCTAAAGAGTGTAATTTGTTCATGTATGCTGACGACTCCACATTAACGTGTAGTTCTACCAGTGTTGATGAGATAGAGAACAATCTGAATACAGCCCTAGCACGAATATACGATTGGTGTAGCAGGAACAAACCTACAATAAACGCCAGCAAAACCAAATCAATGCTCATTGGAACTAAACGAAAGGTCTGCAGTATTAACCTTAATGTAAGTATCGCTGGTAGTCCAGTTGTTCAGGTGAACTTTTGTAAATGTTTGGGGGTTATTGGCCTATATTATTGATGAAGCTTTAAGTTGGGGCCAGTAGTTATGTGTGGCGTAAATCATCCCCCGTTGAGGATCAAGTTGTGGATCAATTGTGGATCCACAACTTGACCCTCAACGGAAGATGATACGCCTCACACTGGTGGGCTCCCCAGCTCCTTCTCCTCCTCCTCTGAGTTCTTGTTAGCAATCTATTCATAGATAGAATAAAGATTTATTTAAGGCGGTGGCGATGACGTCACTTCTCCTATATGACGGCATAGACAATAAGTATGGACATGACAAACGATTTCATTTTTTCATTTTTTGTTTAACCACAATGGCTTCTTCATTTTCTGTGCATGTGTATTCTTTGTTTAAATCACATTTTTTCATTTTTTTAATTTTTTATTTAGTCAATCAGTAAAAAAGAAACAAAGTAAAATTTATTACAAAATAGTAAGAGGATAAACAAAGAATGGACATTAAATGGTCACATCATTTTAAATACAGTAAGGATATAAGCAAATTTATGTTGTTGGTTTTTTTCACTAAAATGGTGCCACTTAAGATTATGAATGTCAAGTTTGTCTCTCCTTTGAGCAATATTGCATCCAATTCTCTCTGTTAACATGACCAAATTTTTGAAGGCACTACAAACAGGAGGTTTTTCATCATATTTGCATTTTATAGATATACGTATGTTGTACCCAAACATAATTGAAAATTCAGAGAAAACTATATTGACCTTCAGTTTAGAGGACAGCCACTCCTGTATACCTGGCCCCAAACTGGTAGAACAAAGACGCAATTGAAAAATAAGTGAGAAACATGTTCCTTCTCTGTCTCACAAAACGTACAGCTCGGGCTATCAACAAGCCTAATTTTGTGCAAAAACACATTATTCACTTTTAACCTGTGAAGAAACATGAACTGGAAAATTCTAGTTTCGATATCTATAGTACATTTGTATTTTGTAAGACAGAGAGATACAATTCCAGTCCTCTTAGTTAATAATTTAAGAATCTCTCCATGTAGCAATAACTTTCACTGGTTTATACCGAGCCTTGTCCATTAACTTGTTATACACATGTTTAACAAAATGCTTCTTCTTTAGGAGCGGATTAACTTCAATATTAACTGAGGGTTGAAAATCCTTATTATTTTTATTCAGCTTTCCAGACCAAGGAATAGCTTTTAACTACCCAAAATACCGAATGAACGTTTTTAATTTATTTTTAAAGCAGAGGTCTTTGTATGAAAGAAAAGTACCAGTCGGAGTAACATGTGATTAATTGTAAGAATACCCGCTTCAAATCATTGTCTATAAAAAAAAAAAAGAGGCTGACCTTGTGTGGTAATAAAAAAAAATGTCCATAGACTCGGATTAAACACTCTTCTGAGGTAACTGGACTCTTTGTAAGTTACTAAGCTCCAAGCTAACAAAATGTCGTTTAACGTGGAGGAGTTCAGATGGAGCGATTTAACAAATTTAGATGAAAAATTACATTCAAATAAACTGAGGCCTCCGAATTGACGACACTTTCAAAAGTACCTGTATTTTCCTGATCTTTTTTTTTAATTTTTTTTTATTTTGGCCCTCCTCAAGAGAACATAAAGCTAGTAGAAAAACCACAGCTAAAGTTCATAGATTATGAGCATAGGGCATGTTAAAGGAACAAATTATGGACAGTTGATTTAAAAGATTGGCTAGATGGAGCTACTAAGGCTGAATACCAAGTTCTGCATGAAGAGTTGGTGGAATGGAAGCTATGGCTTTCTTTTGAAGGGACGACCACACCCTGATGTAGAATAAGGGAATAACAGTGTGAGGAGCCGGTCTTCACTGCGTGATAATGACCGGGTGTGGGGGTGACCGCTGTTAATGGACCGAGAAGAAGTCGAGGTAATGACCGGTTGTGGGGGTGACCGCTGTTAATGGACCGAGACGAAGTCGAGGTCCATTAACAGCGGTCACCCCCACACCCGGTCATTATCACGCAGTGAAGACCGGATTTTCACACTGTTATTCCCATTAATAAATACCTTTTTAACGAAATAAACAGTTAAAATGCTCCAATTTTGTGACTTTCTTTCGGCGATATTTCCAGACTTTTTTGTGTACATGTTCATGGGCCATATTTTAGCTTAACAGCTATAACGACGTAAACTCAGCAGAAACTGCTGCCGTAGCGAAACAAATTACAACAATGTTTTCATATCTTTACCTGATGGAGGAAGCTGAAATCTCGTTTACACATTCCTTGTGTCCGGAATTACAAAGATGCTTGGTTTAGGAAAGGTAAATATGTCGGTGGGTGAAGTGTTCAAAGAAAATAAATCGTACTGATCTACGCTTTCGTCGTAAACATCCTCAGTATATACTGCACTGCTGTACGATGTCGTTTCAAAACTTCCTTACGCGCGCGCACGCACGCATCCCTAGCAACTGTGTTGCGTACGCGCGCGTCAGTCTCACGCGATGGGGGTTGAGCGCATGTGCATTGCTCTATTGTTACAAGCTACCGCAGGACTGTTACTATATTTTGACCAATCATTGGCTTGCATGGGGCTGAACGGGGCTTGATCAATGCTGGTTCAGGGGCCATTTATTCGCTTGATCTTTGAAGCCGGTCCATTATCACCGTTAATGCCCGGCCACGTGATCGAATCTCGACCAATCAGAAACCATCAACTCTCCAAGGCATTTATTAATCTTTATTCATAAATACCTCAGACAGTTTAGCTATTCCTATTGGTAGAGAGCCCGTCACGTGGCCGGTCTTAAACGGATGATAAAGACATGGCTAGCTGGTCTTAAACACTTTTCCAGTGTCACAATAAAATGTGGACTCCTCCGGCTCGGGTAATTATCAGCACCCAGACTCTAAGCGGTATTAAACGAGTGATAAAAACCTCCGGAGCACACATTTATTCCCTTAATAAATGCTACCCCGCTACCCCTAAGGAGTCTCTTAACTCAAGCAGCTTCTAAAGCATAGATGTGCTGCTCATAATTGATCATATTCAAACCTCCTTGATCAAAATTAGTAAATAAAACAGTGCGTTTAATGTTGTCCGTTTTCAGACCCATCAAAAAATAGTAGTGTCATCCGCAAATTGAGAAATTTTTAGATCGTCACCATCAACATGAATACCATTAATGTCATTGTTCCTCTGAGTAGCTTCTGCCAACGGTTCAACTGCTAAAATATAGAGAAAGAGTGATAACGGGCAACTTTGCCTTACTCCTCTAGTCAATGTTTACATTGGGCACATTGTTCAAGCTGTGCGTGTTGCTGCTTAGGCGAGCTGTCAGGTAACTCCCAAGTGTAATTAAGTGACCCTGGTAATTAACAATTAAGACTCAATCACTACTGCATATTTCTTGATTATTGTATAATACATTACGATGCTATTTGTTGTGCCGACAATCCTATTGTCCAAGTGTATTTGTTGTTGGCTTATTGTGCAATTAACGGAGGGTAATCACAATCATCATAATCGGCGGAATATTTCCTCCAAAACGGACCTGCTCCCTAAGGCTTGAGGTCGCTCTGAGTGGTCTCTCGTCTTGAGAAAGCTTGGGTTCGGGAAGATCAGCTACAGTCTAGTAGGTGTCAGACTTGGTCCCAACGAACTTAGGTTTGGCCCGGGGAGATCCCCGCCACAGTATTGTATTTGTAATGTATTTTATTTGTATATGTGTCTATAAACATTATGCACGTCTTGGGAACTTTGGCAATCTGACCCGAAAAAAATTGCGAGCATACCTGACGGGAGCTATATTCGAGCTAACGTCAATTGTTTGCAGGTAAGCGATATGTTTGTACACTTGCAAGTGATCACGATATTATGGGGAAAATGTTGGTGAATACTGATTACTGATCTCGTTTGTGTCTTGTAGGCATGTTGGCCCTCAGTTTCTTGTTAAGTACTTGCATCACTCAGTTCGGATGGCGACGGGCTCTGAGATTCCCATTGGATGCTTTTTTATGCTTCTTCTTTACTTCTTTTTTTATCTTAAAAAGGTTTGTTAGTCATTTGGAACATTTTTTTTTTACCAATATGTAGTTTGGAGGATTTTTTTTCAAGGGAAAATAAAGTCCGAGAACCTGACTTGCAACTCAATGTACTTCGAAATACGCCCATGCGTACGGAAAAAATATCGCGTCCGGCCCCTTTGATTTGCAAGCGTGGTCAAGCCGCCGCGACGGTATATAGAGGGCGCCATCAATCAAATCAATCCAGTCTTGGGAACTTTGGCAATCTGACCCGAAAAAATTGCGAGCATACCTGACGGGAGTTATATTCGAGCTAACGTCAATTGTTTGCAGGTAAGCGATGGTTTGTACACTTGCAAGTGATCACGATATTATGGGGAAAATGTTGGTGAATACTGATCTCGTTTGTGTCTTGTAGGCATGTTGGCCTACAGTTTCTTGTTAAGTACTTGCATCACTCAGTTCGGATGGCGACGGGCTCTGAGATACATCTCTGTGGGGACATTGGCGTTAGGTATCATGGCGAGCTTCTTTCTGACTGACCCACCGACGGAGGACGAGGGTAACAATGAGGGGGGTGATGAGGGAAAACCCGGGGTAGACGAAAGGAAACAAATCACCCTAGAGACAGTTGAAACCTTGGATCCGGACCACCCTACAGAAAGAACGTTGGTGGGAGAGGATCTAGGAGATGAAGAGGAACGCTGTGAAACCCACGAAGACAGGATCCACACGCCAAGCTGCGAAGTTAAAGGCAGTAGTAGCTGCTTCGTTGACTGGGAGGTGTACCACATGATAACGCATATTGACCCATGGGCATGGACTATAGGAGCTTGTTTGGCCATGGTGGGTTGGACATTTTTCACCATCAATTTTGTAAGTACCATAACATCGGGGCGAGGGAGGGGGGTTTGCATTGTCGAAATGACTAACATTACTAATATTTTTGGGTTGAATGAATAAAATGATGTGCGGTTGATATGAATAGATTTTTAGTCGGGTTCCCACTTAAGCACACCGCCTGGTTCATCAAAGAACGACATAAAGCAGCCATATGGTTGCGAAGGGCGATTTCTAAAGGTTACTTAACACTTTATTTTGAATATAACTACATGTACACAGACATGTTTACGTTGGCGGGTGAAATCTTTGAAAATTAATTTCTCCAGTTTGGAAGACCGTATCTTCATGCAACTTTCAGGATTTATTTCCCCTATAATGATCCAAGTATGTGCTAAAAGTCGTTGTAATATTTTCATTACTTTTCGTTGAAATTGGAAAAATATGCCTCGCTACGTGCAATTTTGAAAATTGTAACACAGACGTGCACAATATCTATCAATCTTTTCAAACGTCACGAATATTAATGACGTTCATATCCATTACGGCGTGCAGTAAACAATTGCATAAAAGCCCTCTTCACGAGTTGTTAATTAACAAATATCACCCTTTTTGGCGGCTTCCATTGGTCGATACCGAGACCCACGCCATGTCACGCCGAGTGACGCTTATGAATATGCCAATATGCCCGTCATTATTGGCCGAAATCAGCCGTGGCGCCTACGGCGCTTTGCTGAACAATACAAATGGGTTGGGTCGAAAAATGATTGCTTTGATCCTCTTCGAAATTTTCCATGGAGATGGTTCCACTTGTAAAACTAGCGTCCACAACAACAGATTAAGCTGAAATTCGAAATATACTTAGATGATAAAAGCGTTCAACAACTTGTGAAACTTGGGGAAGTTTTCGAACGATTTCTTCCAGACTTGAAGGTCATCTTTGACAGTAACCAGTATAGACGTTTCGGCATCGATGACGGCGATTTTTTTCACTGACATGAAGTTAAGAATTTCTTCTTCAGTTAGAATGTGACATTTCAATCATACCGAGCATATTTTCTGAGAAACACAACGTTTACGAATTTCAGTGCTCTGTTAAAGCGTCTTAGTACGTAATCGGATTTGCTTTCCCTGACAACGACCGACGCTTTGCCGTTGCAACCATATGGCTGGGGCTGTTTCAAGCACCCTTACCTTTACCAAACTCCGTTGCCTCACTTTCTGTGGATGATTGGTGTACTAGGAGTTGAATCCACTACTCTGAGAACGGACGTGTTCAACACACCAATGTCAGTGGAGTATTGCAATTGCATATAGAGTCTGTCGGGAGGTCAAATCCGGGGGTCGATTTAAACGATTGAAATGAACGTTTTTGTTTTTTTGTATTTTTCCTTTATTCCGGGATTGGGGTGTTGTTGCAGGCCAGTTTCATGGATGGCCACGGTCTTAGCAGTGACCGCATAGCAGTAGTCATCATGTTTTTCGCCATTGGAGAAATTGGGGGGAAAGTTCTCTTCACCGTGGTCGGGGATCATCTGCCGTGTCAACGGCTCTACTTCCTGGTGGCCTCGGTGTTTTTAGGAACCATTGCGTTGGGCGTCATGACGGTGGTACAGACCTTCCAACAAATGATGGCGCTGTCAATATGTAAGTTAAACGCTCGTTTAGGCTAATTGGCAGATTTATGACTTGAAAGAAAATGCACACCATAACTGTGTTTCTCAGAAGTAAAAATATCACATGTGCATTCGAATTCTGTTACCTCTATTTTATTCCTTACAAGTCACCTTATTTCCCAAATGTATGCTATTTTCAGTTTCCGGATTCCTGAGATCTTTGATATACGGACACTCGAATGCAGTTGTTGCTGATATTTTCTTCAAAACCTATAGTTCCAATGGTGTGGCGATTCTAGCACTGTTTCCTTACGGCATCGGGTCACTTATCGGTGCCCCATTGTCAGGTACGTACGTTTAGTCGATTATTTGCCAGTCGATAACTTCATAACAACATGGTTTGAGAGCCTGCAGCAGTGCGAAATTACTGATCCGGATGTGTATTGCACCTGAATTCCTCCATCGTGAAAAGTATACGCACCAACACCGAGGGACCAGTACGTTCGCAATACTTCCCCTCAAACGTGGGATTATACCCAACTGTTGCTGCCATTGATAGACCAATCAGGATCCAAGGATTGATCGTTTGATCAGTCGGTCCCCTAGTCTTACTCTTGGCCTAAGCCTCGTCAGTGATCAAGAGCGATAGCTGCATTGGTGTTGAGCGCCCTTGCATAATATTGGTTTTTACTTGCTCTCCATAACGTCTTGGTCATTTCGTAGCAATGGGGCGGGGCCATTTTATGTAAATAAGACCGTCTGTACATTAAAATTCGAACAAACACAGTCCGTTTTTATAGCTTCATGCTTGATCATGCATGATTAAGCATCATGTCGTTATCGCCGTCGTCTTTTTCGTCGTCGTTGTTGCTGCTGTTATTGTTGTAGTGGTTAATGTTGTGGTGGTTGTGGTAGTGGTGGTGGTTGTGGTTGTGGTTATGGTTGTTGTGGTTGTGGTTGTTGTGGTTATGGTTGTTGTGGTTGTGGTTGTTGTGATTTATATTACTTTGGGCAAAACATATGTTCGTTCAACAAGAGCAACAAGGAAAAAACATTCCACACATTTCACGACAAACATTTTCTTATTTTAATTTCCCTTTAATAACCAGGTGGACTGTATGACATCACGGGTAACTACATCCTTAGCCTGGTCGTCATCGCCGCCATCTTTTTTTGCGCAGCATTCGCATTTTTGACCATCGAATTTCATCGGCGGTTGGCATCGCGAGATTGTTGTTGCTTCTCCTCCGGCAAGAATCGTCCTGTGTTGTTGTGATTACCTTATTATTGCAATATTTGGCACGTCTTTCTTAGGCCTAGGAAGAGCCGAGCTTACCCTTACAACTAAGAAGCATGTAGAACAGTTTCGTCACCAAGGTTCAAGAATGCTGTGTGCATGTATGTTTTAAATAGTTCATGCAGGCCCGGATTGTCCAATAGGCACGGCACTGTGCCTAGGGCCTACGAAAAATGCCCCCCCCCCCGTCCCCGAATAAAAAAAAAGTTGTAGCATACAAATTTTGATTCTATAGCTCAGAATAGCTGATTCAATACCTCCAAATCCGAACGAAAATGATGTTGGAATTTTGATCTTGTTAAAGTGGTCAGAAACTGCCTCAGATAGCACCACAGCTAGAGCGTCTAGAATCCCATTTTTTTTTCCGGGGCCCTTCAGCGGGCCCCCAACGCAACGCCGTTCAGCCTTCACACTCGACCGTATTAGTTTTTATCAACATAAAACGTATGTACGTACGAATGTACCACCCCCACTTTTGAGGACCTAGTGACGCCCTTGGTGCCAACATGGAGCTAGGATACCAGTTTGGCCTGGCATGATTTGTACTCAACGTGACGCGTGAATTTGGTGCCGGTGCCTAGGGAGTAGGGCCTACGGAACCCTGGTGCCTAGGGCCTACGAAACACTTAATCCGGGCCTGAGTTAATGATGCTTACTGCATCTCAGATAGTCTTATTGAATTAGACTACAAGATTTGGAACTGATGGAGCTTTGTGGAGCTGCGGAGAGGAGGTAAAATACCCGTGGCGTTGAAACGTTTCACATCAGACATTGTAAAGAATCAGTTTAAAAAACCCATATTTCTTTTTATTTTTCCCCTCCCATTTTCAAGTTGGGAGCTGCATTTTACCGTTCATATATATCAGTTTAACCTGTTGTCTCTTTAAAGAATTATTTCGTCCGAAAATATACATGTAACAGCCTGTTTATTCTAGCTACATCAACTTGCGGGGAGAGGACTTTATTATCCAGGTTCCAGTGTTAGCAAAAATGTAAATTTATCAAATTGTACCTCAGACATTGGTGCTGTATTGGTGTTGTCAATGTAAAAGCCACGAACATATGGAGGGATTCCGATCGTGTGGGACTAATGGGCTTAAAGTATTTGTAATGGGGATTATAATTATGGAGTAGAATGCTATACTTGGCGTCGCCGGGATGTTTTGTTGGATGGGGGGGGGGGGAACAAATCGTTCAAGTTACTTTCTCTAGCATATTCTCAATTGATACGTTTTTCAGGGAGGGGGTGGGGGACATTTGCCCACTCCACCCCTATTGACACCCCTGCAGACGCCCATTTTGTTAAAGGTGTATGAAATTAATAGCAAATGTGACTTCACACCTCCTTTCCTTTTTTTCCTTTCTTTTTTACCCCTTTTTTAAGCGCCAATCTATATGTAACTATTAGTTAAAGCAAACTGGCTAATGCCCCTACCAACATTGCAGGGGGCCCGAGGGAGGGAGGGGGAGGGAAGAAAACAATGATGAATATCCACATAATTCAGTAATCTGTTTGACATGTTTCGACAATTACGATCTACGCATATGTGAGATACACTATTCGTCGAGATGGAGCGCTATTCACAATTGCGCAAAATGCAAAATGGCTTGGTGCCAAAAGGGATTACGGTAAGGAAGTGGCGTCGAACTTTGCTGCCAAAAGGAGCCCCTTGTATTGAACGGGTTAATTACCTGCATTGACCGTGGAGGTGTTTTCTACAGTGGCGCACCCGGGGGGCGGAGGTTGTAAATTTTTTTTTATGTAATTTTTTTTTAGTCCCATGATTTGACCTCGGTGATTTTATGTCGCCTATTTTCCAGTAGTATAAAAGGAGTGTAAGTGGCGCCACCAACGTCAAAATAGCCCCCCCCCCCTCCCCCAAAAAAATTATTCTGCGGCCAACAATTTTGGGCAACATTGATTGAAAAAAATTAAACTTTAAAAAAAATTAAAAAATTGTGAGCCCCCGATGAAAATTAAGATTAAAACAGAATCCATTCGTCGCGCCATGAGATCCGGGAAAAAAACCTTTTTCAAAGTTTATTGCTTTAGGCTAAGTTTTTTTTTATAATGCCGTTTTCCCCATACACCACCAAGATCCTGTAGTTCAGGTATATTTTAAAACATTTTCGATATGTCTCCAAATTTTGAAAAATCTGCGTCTGAAAAAGTGTAAACTTTTTGGGGCCACCCTGTATAACAAGTACCTGAGGCATTATGCAAATAACTCACGGACACCCCTTCCCCCTTTTTTCCGGGCTAAGTGTTATGATGTAATCATTGTTCACATGAATTTCCATATAGTTTTATTAGGGTAACTGTGCCAGTAGGTAACTTTGTGAATTTAAAGGTTATCAATACGGAGGTTAATTAGGCCCAATGTGAGGTTAAGGTAAATGCGCTTAACTTTAGGGTATAGGCCTAATGATAGCCATTTTGGATCATTCAATATGTAATCTTAATTATCCAGTCGCCTGTATACGTTGGAAAAAGTTATTTAAGTAAGGATATGTATATATGACTTGAAGCTTTGCATGGCGGATGAGATAAATTATAAGGGTTGCGGGTAACACCATGTGGAAAGATATCTCTTCTTGGAAGAAGTGTGGTTCTGAAAAGAACCCGTTGGTTGAGTGTATAGAACTCGACGTTTCGGACAGTGTGCTCTGTCCGTCCACAACCACCTGAGGACGGATAGAGCACACTGTCACGTCGAGTTCTATACACTCAACCAATGGATTCTTTTCAGAACCACACTTCTTCCAAGAAGAGATATCTTTCCACATGGTGTAATCCGCACTTATAAGGATATGTAAGTAGAATCCCAAAAATATACTTTCCAAAAATACGAAAAATTGAAAATCTATTAAAATATGGGAATAAATATCATGCATGGCTGCTATTTACGAAATTAAAAAAAACCTGACTCCTACGATACCGTTTTTTGTTGGAATGATCGTTGTGCTCAATATTCTAATCAAACACAAACATATTAATTCCTTATAGCGCGTGGCAATAATTGACCTTTAACCCATACCGTTCTTAAGCACAACATACACGGGAATAAGCATTCTTAAGTTGTGGATCTTGCATTATAGTCTTTAGTGAAGGTTTGCTCTTGTGCTCAAAATTCTAATTCACGGCAAAAACTAGCGCTAGCAGGCAATTCTTAAGCATGGAATGCACGGGATTCATCATCCTTAAAGTGCTAGTGAAGTGAATATTTCTGAGGAACATATTTTGTGCTACTTTCTAATCTTCTTAAGTGTATGAAAACTAATGGATATTCCTATTTGGTTAATTTTGTTGAAAGGTGCACTTCTTTTAACATTTCAAATTGTCAATGTTTTTCCAGACAACTGAGGGCGCTGTTTTCGTGATGTCATTTTAAGGGAGACACTATTCATATTAGGTGTTTTTCTGTTGAAATAGTGAACCCCAAAAAATGCTCATTGAAAACATTTCTGAGAAAAGTTTGCTCATTGGCTTACTGCCACGAACTGACACAACAACGAATCACTACTGAAAAGAAAGTTCACGGCGGCGCGGCGAAATATCCAATATTTTGGCAACTTTTTGTGCATAAACTAATTGCAACATTGAGGTTTCTGCCTGAAATGACATCACACTTTTGCTCATGAATATGGAAATAAGCATTAGCATAAAAACCGAAAAGGCACCAAAATACCCTTGAAAATGGCAAAATGAAAATTGAAAATAACCTTAAAGGAACACAAAGGTACATTTTCAAGGATTGCATTTAAAAAATTAAATTTCATGGGCCCTTTAAGTTATTGATCATCATCCAATGAATCGAATATCGTACTATTTGTTCGCGTTGGAACGAACGGTGCTTGTGCGCGATATATCGGGGGGGGGGGGTACTTCAGGTGGTGCCCCCTCCCAAACTCATACACGGCAGGTATTTGCGATTTATGCAAATTAGGCACCCTTCCCAAAAGAATGTCAGGTATCGCCCCTTCTAAATATCTTCTCTAGGGCTATATAAGAATCTGTCTGCCAAGTTTGGCGCTTTGGAAATTGGACCAGTCGGTCACGATTTTGTCAAAAATTGGGTTTAAGCCACCTGACTGTTAGAGGCGCTCGTGAGGGGCCTACTCATTGTTCCCACAATTGTAGTTTTTGTCTCACCTGAACGAAGTTCAGGACAGATACCGTGTTTGTCCGTACGTCCGTCTGTCCGTTCTGACCATACCACCCTTGTGGGGTGATGTTCCTTTCAGGACACATCACCCCACTTTTTTCACAATAGAAAAACATCACCCCAGAAGGGAATCTTTAGAAAAAGGGATAATGGGAACACAATGCTATCACCCCACAATTCCGTCTGGCTGGAACGTCCGTACGTATGTATGTACACTCAACCAAAAAAGAAAGTCCCCCCTTAATACTTTTTTGTTTAACTCAAAAGCTACTGGGCACATCTTGCTCAAATTACGACTGATCAGTACAGAAATTCCCTAGCAATCCATTCATACTCTTTGTTTGACCCAAAACAGTGATAACGTGTACAAAATTATGCAATTTATGACAAATGGTACTGTGATGAATCATCAACTATACGTTTTATACATTAACATGAACTGTATAGTGACTTTTCTTTAGTGCCCAGTCACTCATACTAGAACATCAGCATTTAATTGGCCAGCGCTGTTAGTGGGCGTGGCTTAAGTCATCTACTAAGCAATACTGCATTTTCATTGGTTGAGGCACCCTGTGTACTTTAGTAATGAGGGGCATTTATTGTATGTGAATGTATATGACCATGTTGGCCTATAAAAGGTGGGACCAAAGAAGTCAAAGAAGTCTCCTGTCTCTGTTTTATTGTCTAATTGTCACTAATTAGGGTGTAAGTCTCCCCCACTTGAGCCACTTGAGCCACTTGAGCCTCTCGAGCCACTTGAGCCACTTTAGCCACTTAAGCCACTGGTCAGCCGGTCAGCCACCCAGAGCCACCGGTCAACCACCCAAACCACAGGTTAATCCACCCAAAACCACAGATTAATCCACCCAATTCCCTAAATCCCAAACACAAGTTGAGTTAGCGCTTTCCCCCTGGTGGAGCAGATTTGGGAGTGCTGTTCGTCACTTGGTGCTGTGGCCTCCAACCGCAGGTGCTTCAACTCCATCGGGACTGGGCCAGAGAGGCAAGGGA